ATACTTTCGCACAAACTGATAATGGAGGGGCCAGTAAAAGTCTCGACTCACCGTGAAATATGTTTTCTCCCGGCCACGATGTCCTCCTATAGAAGCATCGTGATACTCGAACATGATCCGCAAACGCAGATCAATATCATCTGGAATGACAACACGTGGATTGTCACCAGAAACGGCTGTATAATACAGTAAACCGTTGCGAGTAGTGTATCGATCTGATGCAGATCGATACGCAGGCGACAATCGTTTCAACGATTCTCGGGATGGTTGGGAGAGATGTGTCAACAACTTCACTATCTCACCATCTTGGGCGTATGCCCGCCTCACATCATCATACAACGTTGTAGATGGGACTGAGGACGTCATAACCGCAACAGTGACTGTCTCACTGTTGGGTTTCGCGACCATTTCAAAGTCGGGACGACGTGAGAGTGCATCAGCGACGACATTAAGTCGTCCTGGTTTGTACTCGACCGTAAAGTTGTATTCTGCAAAGAATGACAACCACCGCGCCATTCGTTGTGAAAGGTGCGGGCTGTTCACTGCCGTGCGTAATGACGCATGGTCAGTGTAAACAACGAAGGGTCTATCTCCTAATAGATAGACTCTGAACTTCGCGAGTGCATACTTCATGGCAAGGAGTTCCTTGTCATGCACTGGATAGTTCCGCTCAGCTGGTTGCAGCTGACGCGACTGATAGCAGACGACGCGTTCAGCGCCTTCAAGATCGTACTGCATTAATGCACAGCCGATTGCGAAATCGCTGGCATCACAGACCACATGAAATGGCCTGTCCTGATCGGCTATTGCTAGGACTGGGGATTGTATCAAGCTCTGCTTGATACCCTCAAAGGAGCGTTGACATTCAGCGTTCCATAACCACCTCTCGTTCTTTTTCAACAAACGAGAGAGGTGCACAGTCATCTCGGCGTAATTGCGTGAATACTTATGCAAATACGCCGCTAGCCCAAGGAATATCCGAAGACCTTTGACATCGACCGGCACAGGCCAGTCGGTGATCGCCTTGATCTTTTCGGGATCAGGACGTACACCGTTCTTACCAACGATGCACCCAAGAAGTGGTATTTTGCTTGCTGCAAATATACACTTCTTGAGGTTAGAATACAATTGATGCTTTCGCATGATTGTAAGAACCTGTCGGACGTGGTACCTGTGAACCTCAACGTCCGACTTTCCATCCATAGCTCGACTATGGATGAATACGTCATCGAAATAACTCGGCGCAAATTCTCGTACTGGTCTCAACAGATGTGATACACATCTGTTGAACGTGGCAGGGGCATTACTAAGCCCTTGTGGCATTACTAGCCATTCCCAGAGCATGCCGCTAGGCGTGCTCACTGCGGTATAGGGTATATCCCTTTCCCGCATAAGGATTTGATAGAAGCCATCCATCAAATCCATGGACGAAAAGATGGTACTCTTTGACATACCATCAATGATTACGTCCTTCCTCGGTATCGGCGTCTGAGCCGGTACCGTTGCAGCGTTCAATTTGTTGAACGCGTGCACTATCCGCCACCCTCCTGTTGCTTTTCGCACACAGAAGGTCGGAGAGCTATGTGGGGAAGTTGATTCCCTCACATGGCCCGCAGCTAAACGATCGGCAAAGAACTTGTCGATCGCAAGTACTTGTTCACGAGGCAGTGGCCACTGCTTCATGACACAGTACTTCGAGCCTGGTTTAACCTCGACCTCGTGTCGAATACCTTTATCCTTCGGTAATTCGCACGGAACAGTTTCAGGGAATACATCCTTGAATTCAACCAAATCTTCATAGAGAGGATTTTTCTTGAGCGATTCCCATGATTGGGAGTCATATCGCTCAATTCGTGTCTTTTCATCTAGGACACTCTCGTCCATAGATGAACTACTGAGAACTCTCTCGTTCTCAGTAAACACTGTTGCTGACCTTATGTCGGTTACACACTCGTCGTCAGCGACGAGTACGCAGATCTGCTTGACTTTGCCACTACGCAGATCACGCAAGAACATTTTATGTTCGAGCGTTGGCAACTGAGTGATCTCCGAAGTCAACTTCGGAGGCGCAATCAGATCAAGTGTATAAGCGCCTACACTTGATCCGTTATTGACTATGACATTCAATGTCTCTGTCATTTCCTGGGGACTTATTCCCTCAGGCTTCGAAGGACTTATTCCTTCGTCTTCCCGGGGACTTATTCCCGCGGGTTTCGGGGAACTTATTTCCGCCGTATTTGTAATCTTGGGACTTATTCCCTTTACTTCCTCTAGCTGGGGTTGCGCAACCACAGCGAGATCCTCTACGAAAGACTCTCCAGTCGATCTAGGATTATCGCTTCGCTTAACCTGAGCGATCGATTGTTTCTCTTCTAGATGTTCCCCGCTAGGGATACATCTTTGTCCCAGTCCACCCGACTTATTCGAGTGGTGGACCTTCGGCGCAGCCTGTGTTTCCTCACAGCCGCCGGAACTTTGCTCCGAAGTGTAACCGTTTGGTACACTAAGGTTTTGTGCAGTCGTACTAACGACCGTACCACAAGCGAGGCCATCGCACTCACTCGTAGTACATCCACACGCTTGTGGACGCTCCAAAACGTTCACCAGATGGCCATCTGATGAACAAGCGGCAGGCATCGTTACTGTCCAATGTTGCCAGTTTACCCGTGGTTCGTACCTTCTGAGCCACGGTATTCCAAGGATGACATCAAATTTGTCATCCAAATCCAATACGATAAAGTCATCGTCATATTGGGTATCTTCTAGCGTATAGTGGATCTTCACTATACGCTTCATGACGGTTACGGATGCGCCTGTCGCAAGACGTACCGTCATCCTCGTAGGAGGTGTGTCACATTCACTGAATTTAAAGTGACCATCTTCTAGCGATTGGCGTCGCACAAAATTGTTGTACACCCCACAATCGACTAGAGCTCGAAGGGACAACTTATTCGTCACTTCGAGTTTCAAGGTAATGAGTGAGACCTCATTACCTAGAGCAGCAACGCACAACGTTTGTGTGTTGGGAGCAACCTTCATCAAGAGGCCTACAAATTCTCTTGACGTTGCTAGACCAGTAGGGTGCTCCGCACCTACTGATCCTGTCCGTTTTTTGACGGTCCATCCCGTTGTTGCGTCTTTGCACCAACTGCGGACCCTCGTCCCTGCCCCTTTCTCATAGGTGGACGGTCACTACGCCCAGTGTCGCGAGACACTGGACGAGGGGCACTACACTCGTAAGCGTAGTGTCCTGTCTTTTGACATCTGTTGCATCTCTGCAACTTCTTGTAGCCTGTAGAGCGAGCCTTCTCGCTCTCTACATAACAGAGTTCCATCGGCTCTGGACCTCCGTTGTCATATCGTCTCGGTTGACGATATGATGTCGAGCTGGCGCGAGCCTGTCTCAGACTGAAGTCTTCCTGCTCCGCAATGGAAATGGCTTGTTCTAGTGAATCTAGTTCAAGCCGGAACAGGTGAGTCTTGACGGGACCATCCGCAAGACCCTGCATGAACACCGAAACCAACGTGTGTTCATCCACCGGATTGGAACTTATACAACTCGTAAGATGTCGTATATGTTGGGCGTAAGCGTGCACATCACGCTTACCCTGTTTGAGCTTCAAGAGTTCGGTTCGAGCCCTGAACTCAGCTCTAGGCGGTTCAAACGTTTGTCTGAGCCGCGACTTGAAGACTTCCAACGACCCAAACGCATATGGGTCGTGCAACTTGAGCCCCAGTGCCCAAGTCTTGGCACGTCCTGCCAGATTTGACTGGGCAAATGCAACTTGCATATCCCTGTCGTCGATGCGACGCGCCCTTATGGCGTCATCCAATTCGACGAACCATCTCAAGAGGGAGTCTTCTTCGACCCCCCAATACTTTGAGATGTCAATCTTCAAAGTCTCGGGTCGACGCGAGTGCATCGACCCACCAGCAGCAGCCTGCTGCTGTCTCAACAGTTCAAACTGTTGAGCACCCTGTTCTCTCAACAACTCTGCTTGTTGAGAACCTTGTTGGTGAAGCAAGGCTACTTTCTCGCGTTCAGCGTCAAGTTCATTTTGAATGAACTTGGCGATAGTAGCATGTTGGGCATCTCTATTGAGAGCCTCTAGCATGACGCTAACAGCATGGATGCCCATGGTCGAACCCATTCGTTCAACCGCATCCCATTCGACATCGCTCAAATGGGAGTAGCCGTCACGCGTAGCGTGAAAGCTTTGGTCATCTTCATCATCCAACATATTCATGTTGGATGTGAACGCGGTCCTTGGACGGACTACGAAGTGCTACCAGGTGTAACGGGGCACCCTGAAGCTTGTACTGGTGACAGTACAAGCTACTTATTCTGATGACAGAATAAGGCGGTGCCTCGTAACTTCACGTACACTCGTACGTGCAGAGGAAGACGGTAAGAAGAAGCGAGTACTTGGTTAAAGTAAAAAGTAGAACTGTATTTAGTATAGTTAATGTCTGCAATAAATCACTATTTATCTTCATCTAACTATGTCTAAATACAAATGTGTAAATCAGTTATCTGCTCACCACTCATTGCGTGCGTCTGTCGTGGCGCGTCTTCGTTGGTTGATATAATGGCCTATATCAACCAATCAGGAACTACTCGTAAGTGCTACAGAATATTTGTCCTTATGACAATATTCTGAGAATATAACTCTTATAGTTATATTCTATTAACAATTTCTTATAAATTGTTATGTAACGATTCACCCCGTTACACCAGCCATCTCCACTTGAACAGTGAAGACCACGCCGACGCTCCTGTTCAGAGGCACCACCAGGCGGGTCACAGCGAAAGCGAAGAGAGGATGTATTCTGGTTTTGATGTGTCCAAGGCTTTTAAAACGGGGCCATTTATCGAAGAGCTGAAAGCAAGATACGTCGCGGCAGGAATGAGCATTCCGAAATTCGTCCATGATTGGGGCTATATTGACTCGGCAACACAACATCTTTCCGACAGGAAGAAATCCATCCTTGTCAATCACATGTGGGAACCTAGCACGTCCAGTGAGGATGCTGCAACACGGTTCAGGGAGGGACGCGATGAAAGCGCGGTCATTTCGATAATGAAGAGATTGGCCAGCACCAACGATGTCGGATTACGATACATCGAAGATAGACTGCAGTCTATCTTGATGATATGGTGGAAATCCAAACAACGTACAGCTGACTACGTGTTCAACTTTCTAAAGATCAACAAAAGCATCTCGAAGGCGCAGGAAAAAGCCACCATGGTTGAGAAAGCTGTCTGCCTTGCCGACGACCAAGCTTTTGTAATGTGGGATGCTTATGTGTACTTCATCGACCAGCACGATCCTATTAAAACGATATCCCGCATACTGGTGCCGGAGCATTTTGGCATTGAAGAATGGGACAAGATCCTTGCTGCTGCAAGAAAAAGTATGGGTCCAAGCACTCGCCGTGAAATAGGTTGGAAGGCAAAACCCTACGAGGACCTAACATCTCACCGTGAATTAGCTCGGAGCGCAAAAAAACCACGAGGGGCCAAGCGCAAAGGTTAACACGAGAAACACAAGGGTGCGGCTCCCTTGAAACGACTGCGTGTCAAGTTACAAGGTCGATACGTGGAAAGTACCGGCCCGGATGCACTGTAAACGGCCACACGCCCAACAACTCGAAGAGAGCGTGTAGGCACGAAATCTACAGAGGGGTTACCAGCAGAGTGTCATTTACTTTTCTCAGTTTATGTTTTGGACAGAAGCAACGGTGTCACTACACGTGCTTTTTCGCTGATTCAGGACCTGTAGCAAACTGCTGAAGTGCTGGTGCGAGCTTTCTTCTTACTATCGTTGTCGAGTATGCTGACGATTCATTCAGTCGATCAGCATCTTGGCGGGGCACAAAGCAAATGTCCACAGAGTAGAAGTCAAGCTTTCGAGGCCGCACAAGAAACCAAGCGGTGGTTTTCGCTCGATTCACACTATTTGATCCACTTGCACACGATTCTACAACGAGCGCCCTCATATCTAGCTTGGCGACACGCAGTGTCAGTTCTTGATCGTACAGTCTGGAGCTGCAGCGGAAGACAGCTTACTCATTGATTCGAAACACTATCTTCTACTTACCTTTTCCCGACGTCGAGCTCTTGATGTAATCTCGCCTCAACTGTTGCGCTATTTAACTCACATGAAGCATCAGTTCAAAGATTCCGCAATTCTGTTCGCCTTTGCGATTCCTACAGCAGAAGCACAATAGATACAATGAATCACGCGCTTGTCAGCCTCATTGAAGCAAACACAACACGCAGTCCAGGACCCACTCGACACAAAAAAACATACGCACGTACCGCTAGTCCACACCATGTTTGCCAATGATTGAAGAGAAATGTGAGTATCTTGCAAGCACATCATGCTTCGGCACTCTGGTGAGCGCCAGAGCTGACGTCTGGATACCGAATGGCATTCGCACGAGTACATCGCCCGATGCCAATACCACGTTTTGGTAAGTGGTGACAATCCCTCAAATCGACATTCGGCAGCTGCGTCCACGGAGCTGAATGGCACCCAAATACGAGCGGCCATTACAGCTCGTTTGCTGGAGAAGCTGCCTCTGCCTCTACTGAATCAACTACGGCATTACCTGCATGAGTATGTTTCCATCATCCCGCCACACTCACCGTCTTTTAGCTACTTGAGAGAAGATCTCGTCTACATCACGAACACGCGCAAGCTGAGGAATGCATACATCCTGCCGGCGTTCAACGTCTTGTGCATCTTGTAAATAAAAGTGACGCACACTCATTACAGGTCGGGCCAACGAATTGAGCGAACACAAGCAAATTCGATTGTTGCACGGGCAGCAGGGTGAGCAGTGGCTACAACGGGCACACCTCTGAGCTTGTTAGATCACGGGCTCACTTGTTGCCGACTTCCGCTCCATTGAGTTGTCAGAGATACTTTGCTGGCCGCGACCATCGTCGCACTACGTACCATCCGGAACCATTTGCTTCCTCGGCCTTTATAACGAGATTGATAAGACAGTCACGCATAGGACTGCTCTGGCTGGATACGTATGGTGGCATTGTCTGATCGATTCAAGAGCTACAGCATAAACTAGAACATAGCTCATCGTAAGCCAACAAAACGAAGCAATAAAATAGTTCCAATAGACAATGTAGCACCTGTTGCTCGCGCAATCGTGTCGTCAGCGCACACACAATCACTTTTAACAGAGTAAAACAGAGCAACGAGAGTGCAAAGCTTGACAAAGAAGATGCATGCCACAATTTCCGCTACGCAGAACGTCTCACGCATATGATGCTTGATCCGTACTCGACCTTGCTCATCAGATAGTGTACTGTGTACAAGACAATGCAGAACGAAGGCGAGCGAATAGCACGAAACCGTGCCGGCAATGTTATGTACGAGTCGATAAACTCATCGCCCCCAATAGCCCGTAGCAAAGCTACACACTGTTCGTCCTATGAATAAGCCGCACGAATTAAGTTAGTTACTGATGACGACAGTGTCGTAACATGAGCAAGCTCATAGTCAGGTCGGCGCGAGAGCGCACCAGCCGAGGCATTTTGCTTTCCTGGCTGATACTTCACCTCGACATTATATTCGGCAAAGAAGGTAAGCCAACGATCTGAGAGAGATGCGGCGCATGTGTCGTAGTGCGCAATGACGAACGATCTGTATTGATTACAAAAAGCTAGAATCCAAGCAGATGTATTCTGAATTTAAGTATAGCACACTTCATAGCAAGTAGTTCTTTGTCGTGAACTGAATAGTTCTTTTCAGCAGCTTTAAGCTGGCGAGACTCGAACGCAATGACGCGCTCGCATCCATCAACATCTGTATCAAAGCACTGCCAATGGCAAAATCAGATGCGTCACAGACGATACTGGAGGGCCGATCGTAGCATCGTGCTTGGTGTTACCCCAACACCAATCCAAATCCTTTTTCAGGAGATTGGATAATGGCCTAATAATGTCTACGTAATTCGCACTATACTCATGCAAGTAATTGGCAAGGCCAAGCCACTTACGTAAGTCCTTTTTGTTCTTAGTAACTGGCCAATCGACTATAGCCCTTGCCTTAGCGGGGTCCGCTTCAATGCCTCGCTTCCCAACGAAGCAACCTCGAAAAGGGAATTTTCTTCTGTACCAAAGATGCACTTAGACGCGTTAGCGTACAATTTATTTGTGCACATGCGCTCGAGCACCGCTCGTAAATGATCAATGTCGTTATCCACAACTGATCGACCATTTGTTGCGCGACTATGGACAAAGATGTCGTCAAAGTACGTCTGTGCGTAACCTCGATGAGGTCGAAACAATTGTGTCACCAGACGGTTAAAAGTAGCCGGGGTGTTCGACAGCTCTCGTGACATAACGAGCCACTCCCAGCGTATAAAGCTCGGAGTACTGACCGCTGTTAGCAATATCACTCGCTCACACAAGAAACTGACAAAACCCATCGACCAAGTCGAGTGCACTGTACAATGTACATCCTAACCTATTGTTCTGAAGAACATCTGTAGCGGAGCTACACAGCTCCTTAAGTCAGAGGAAGACTTAACGCTCTACGAGCAACTTAGTTCCAAAGAACTAACGACTTTACGAGTCAGCAAGCTTTACAGCTTCAGATCCCTGTTCCAGGGGACCTAACGATTCAGTGAATCGACAGCACTTAGTGCTATAGAGTAGCTACCTCAAGGAGGTGTTGCTAACTCTTAGTGATCAGAGATCAACGATCAAGACGGCTCGCAAGCCACGCGTCTTTCAGATCAAAATGGGAACTGATTTTATTTAATGTTAAAGCCTATAGAATATCTTAATCCTACTCAAAGATCTTTCGTATCTAATGGCTGACACTTGTCAGCCCCTACAAACCGATAAGATATTCTATATCACCTTCACAGAAGCGAACCCTCAGGTGTGTAACACCTCTGGTACAAAGTACCATGATTTCGTGCAACCCCGTTACACCCTCCCCCACCAGACTGACGTTTACCCAAAACGTCAATCGAACTCGTATTCTCAGCGAGAACAGTGCGCGTACGGTGAACCTCACGGTAACGTACGCTCTAGCACGATGTCCTCATCACCAAACGAGTCAAAGGCTCTGTGTGACTACCTCGGAATAGAGGAAGAGGTGGACTATGGTAGCGATACCAGTGTCCGCGGTGACACAGGGACAACGTCCGGCTCACTGATGCCTGAGGCACAACTTTCGAACACCCCAAATCCGTTCGCTGAACGTGGAGGTGCGAGCGCGCCGCCAGCGCAGCGTGCAGCATCTGGGTTTGATGAGACTATCATCGCGAACCCGCTCGATGAGCAACAACAACTGCTTGTTCAAAGAGAACAAAACGCTCAGCGTTATGCACAGATGACTGCAACCCTTGAACGCCAGCGTGATTATGTGTTCACCCCACCCAGTGTGGAGGAACGTCTGCGTCAAGCGGCCGGCCAAACATTGGCAACGTGGGTCATTGGCCATGGGCCTAAGACTCCTGAGGAGGTGGTGAGCTGCCAGGCACTTCGTGAGAGGTACCTGGAGCCGCACCTAACGACTCAAAGTCAATACAAGGCACGCCTTGACATGCAAGCACGTGGTGCACCAGTTCCACCGATGAAGGGTATACCCATTCTCCTGCTCGCAGGCGAAACAGCGAGTGAAGAAGACGATGCCTTTGTTCACTGGGTGCACTATGTGCGTCGCCTCAGCAACATTTTTGCTCTAAGGGCTAGTGCCCATGCGGCGGATGTGCGTCTCGAACGCAAGCTTCGGTATGATTATGCCAAGCTTAAGGCCAGAGGCCAATTGCGCAAGCGCACGCGCTATGCTTCGGCTACTAAGGTAGCCGCGAGTGCTGGTCAGTCTGTGACCAACAACCCGCCAACCCGCACCACTAGTGGTGGTGAACGGCCTCGGCCTCGCGATGACCATGGCCACGATGCTCAAAAGCCTCCAAAGCATATGGGCAGTCTTGCCGAAGGGGTACCTCAAATTCCCATGAGTTTTCAGACTCAGGGTACCCACGCCACTTTACCAGATACTGATATTGGCCCTGACGACGACGTCGTTTCAGTAGTCTCTCGACATGGAATTGACGACACCCATGCTCATCGAGCAAAGTCGGTGGCGGCCGGTGTACCGGTGGAGGCCCACGAGAAATTGGTTCTCGAAGTGAAGGGTCTTCAAGCGGCCTTGGGTAAGTCCCAGTGCATGCTGGATGCGATGCAAAACCGCCTTCAGGCGATGGAGCAAGCTCAAACTCGGAGCGAGGCTCAGTTGGACTTGCTGATTCGTCTACAGCAATCCGGGGCGGTGCCCTTGTCGTCGGCGCAAGCGCCTCCAAGTTCACATGGGAAGGATCCCGGTACGGCTTAAGTAAGCCTACGTAGAACACTGGATGTGTGCGCAATTTGCGTGGGAGGTTTAGCGTATACGCAAGTCCCCTTTTGGCCGTGACCGTGAACGGTCCAATAAAGCGTGGACGCAACTTTGTCTTAAAGACAGCAGACACTACATTTGTAGGTAGATTTTTAGCA